CAAAGAATATAGTGGTATCAACAACTCATTTTGGGGTTCTTGAACCCGAACTATCTTTTTGTTAGCATGGAACCCATTTATCTTTTTTTTTCCAAAACGCAAACCAAAACAAAGAAAATAAAATAAATTTTTTTAAAAAATGTCATTTAGCAAACTATTATTACCACAAAGAAGGGAATTTGTATATAAAATTTGTAATGAAATGTATAATAATGCTCTGGTTAATTCTGATAGAAAAAGTAGAAAAGATTATTTTTTTTCATTAGTCAAGAAAAACAAGAAACTTTCTGAAAATGAAAAAGAATTTTGTAAAGAAAAGTTTATTTATAATTTTGGATTAGAGAATGCAATTTATAAATCTGGTAAACCAAAAAAATGCAATGAGTGTAAATCAACAAAATGCTCTGATAGGTTCTGTGAAGGTTGTATTAGTTTACAATTACAGAATCTTTTTAATAATTGGACATCTGGAAATAACATAGTTAACAACTTTATTCAACAATGTCAAATGAAATCACCCTTGCCAAGACATATCTTAGAATGGATACCTTTTGAGCAATTTGAAGATATAAAAAATTTAACTAAAGGTGGATTTAGTTCAATTTACACTGCTACATGGAAAAGAGGAAAAATATTTGATTACAATGAAAAGGAAAAAGAATTTAGTTATTTTGGAGGGCAACAAATAGTATTAAAAAGTTTAAATAATTCAAGTAATCCAGGAAAAGGCTTTTTTGATGAGGTTGGTAGTAATTTTTATTTAAAACAAAAATAAATAATATTGTGTTATATAATGCTAATTGATTTTATATTCAATTATAGGCAATAAATTATTGTAAAATTAAGTCACTGATGATTGTTCCTTGTCATGGTATAACTAAGTTCCCAAATAATGGAAATTATGCAATAGTTTTAAGTTATCATCCAGAAGGAAATTTAAGGGATTATTTACAAAAAAATCATTCTAATTTGACATTAAAGAATAGAATTACAATTTTTAGATGGTTATGTAGTGCATTATATGATATACATGGAAAAGATTTAATCCATTGTGATTTACATAGTGGTAATATATTATTGGAAGGAGGTATTGGTTATATTACAGATTTGGGGTTATGTGGACCAGTTGATGAAAAGTCATCAAATAAAATATATGGAATTGTACCATATGTTGCACCTGAGCTATTTAAGGGCACAAATAATACTAAAAGCACAAAAGAAACAGATATTTACAGTGTTGGAATGTTAATGTGGGAAATATTTGCAGGCTGTCCACCATTTGACAATAGAGCTCATAATCATCATTTAATTTTTGATATATATGAAGGTTTACGGCCACCAGTATTACTTCAAATGCCTGGTGACTATGCACAAATGATGCAAAGGTGTTGGGATGTGGATCCATCAAAAAGGCCAACTATCAGTGAGCTTTTTCTTTTTTCTAAAAAAATATTCAAAGAAGTTTATACAACTGAAAATTTGAAAAATAATTGTTTTATAAAAAGATTATACAAATTTTTTAAAGGCAATGAGCATAAAATAGATTTTTATAATGATGGTGGTGATTTGCAACAAGTACACAAATCACATCCAGAAGCATATCATACAAGTAGAATATTAGATGACGAAATTACTAAATCAAAAAGCTTAAAAGGTTATACAAATGATAGTTCATTAAATAATCTTGATTTCAATCTTTACAAATTTTAAAATTTTTTTCATAAAATCAAAAATACCTTTTTTATTATTATTATCAAATTTATTGTCCAATCTTTTCGAGATATATATAATGTATTTTTTACATTTGAAGAAACAAATTTTCTTTCATAAAATTTTTAATAATGATGAGAAAGAGCTATAATATCAACCTTCAACGTGAGATTATTGAAACGAGGCACTTTTGATGAAAAGAAAAAATAATCAGAATAATCTTGCTTGCTGCCATAGTTGGGTCAATAATTTTTTATATAATAATAACCAGTCAGTTGGTGGAAACAATAGAGCCGGATATTACTATCAAGATATTCTACAAATAACACCATCGTCATCACATCAACCTTTGCCACCACATCACCGCCTGCCTATCCCTCCCTACTCCAATTTATAAAAAACATTCGATTCTTTATATAGAGTTGAAAAGAAAATTCATTAGAACAGTATAAAGGATGCCATGCCAAATTTGGATTTCACTGAATTAATGTGGTGGAATGGATAATAAAAGATATAATAATTACAGAAACAACAACTATTATTATTATCACATAATTTTGTTGTTATTGTTGCAACATAAAATATTCAATCATCAACAACAAAAAGCTAATCAAAAGCATTTTCAAGGATTCACATTGACAAGACATGTTCTTTGATGAGCAACGTAAATATAAAGAAGCAAGTGGTGATTTGACCACCCTGTTAAATGCAATTCAACTAGTTGTAAATTTGTAGCTACTAACGTTAGAAAAGTTAGACCTTTTAAATTTGTGAGTAATAAATATAATGATCGATAATAATAATTGAATAATATGCAATTTATAAATTGAAATAAAGAAATCAATGATTAATTCCCATCCCATCCCATCTATTCCCTTTCCAAATAATTCAAAGTTGAACTTGCAGGTGGCGCAACAATATTTCAGGCAATGAACAAAAAAAAAATTAGATGTGATTTCCAATGAGATTTTTGTTAACGCACTTTGTTCATCTGGTAAAGTTGCTGTGATGGTTTCAGAAGAAGATGAGCAAGCAATTATTGTTGAGAAAGGATTACGTGGAAAATATTGCGTTGTCTTTGATCCACTTTATGGATCTTCTAATATTGATGCTGGTGTAAACGTTGTTACAATTTTTGGTATTTATAAAGTCAATCAACTAAATATATGATATTGGCATAATTTTATTGATGAATGATTAATTGTCAAAAAATTAATTTAGCATGAAGGATCTACTGGAAGTATTTCAGATGTTCTTAGACCAGGTTCTGATATGGTTATTGTATGTATGGTAGTTCTGCTAATCCGGTCATTACACTTGGTAATGGAGTTAATGGTTATACACTTGCTAATGTAAGCACAATTAGTCGATTGATTAATTATTGTGATTTTATTTTTTTATTTTTTAGGCGATTGGAGAATTTATCCTAATGTAAGCGTTAAACAAACATATATCCAATTATTATGGTTAAATAAATAAATAAATAAATAATTATTGTGTTATTTCCTCACTCATTGTTGCTGCTCAACTAACAGATCAAAATTCCATATTGTGGAAAGATATATTCAGTAAATGAGGAAATGAAAAATATTGGTATGAACCATGTAAGAAATATTTCAATTTGCTCAAATATCAAATATCCACCAGAAGGTAAAATCTTCATTCAACTTGTTAGATCGGTTCAATGGTTGCTGGTGTTCATTGTACACTGTTATATGGTGGAATTTTTGCATACCCAGCTGACAAAAAATCAAAAAATGGTAAACTTCGTATCTTGTATGAATGTTTTCCAATGGCTTTTTTAACTGAACAAAGCTGGAGGAAAAGCTATAAATAGCAAAAAACGAGCGCTTGATATTGTACCGGAATCTATTAATTCCCAGGTGTCCTATTTTCTTGGGCAGTAAAGATGATATTGAAGATATAGAAAAGTTTTATGCCGATTTCAATGGTAATTGCTAAATTATAAAAAGAAAAAAACAATTTATCTGTTTTCTAAATAAAGCATTGACAATAAAGTAAAAAAATAAATTTCTCCTATATATATATATATCATCAATTTTTTTAGTAAATTTCACTTTGATGAATCCCAATCATAACAAATAAAAGTTTTATTGACTCTGAATTAAAGAAACCCGATGTTTGCTTCCAATTTCACCTTTTCTTATGTTTCTAATAATAATAAAGTAAAAAATATATTTGCGAAAACGCGTCATGCAATTGACCAATATCATCTGTTTGCGTTCTTATATATAAGCAAAACATGTTTAATCCTTTAAATTGTATTTTTATTTTTTAACTATAGGAATTGTCTTGTTAAAAACCTGGGAAGAGTAGTAGTAATACTTAATATGTTACTATGTAATGGTGATAGATTTGCGTTCGTTACTAATAGTATTACAGTCAAATCTCGATAAGGCCGAACTTTTATCAAAATTTGGTTTATGAAGATGATTTACAATTACTGAATTAGTATTAGTATTATTACTATTCGTGTAGATGATATTTAACACAGATAAAAAAAAAGAAAATTTGTCGTGTTATTGTCTTTTTCAAATTAATTTGTTTTTGAGTAAAGTTCTATTTGGTTTGGTTTTTGGTGCGATCAACGGTTTCACCTTATTAAGCGAATTTTGAGTCATACGGTTTATTAAAAGAGTTCTTTGCAATCGCAATTGCAAGTGTTTTGCCATTGCCTTGCCTGTTATTTGCAATAAATAAATTTTAATTACACAAAACTTTTCAATCATCCATGAAATTTCAAAGTTTTTACTTTTGAAAAAAAGATTCCGGGCTATTTTTATGTCAAAATTTATATAGTGATTTTTAGGCAAGGATTCAGTGGTCCCTCCCTCCCTACATATAAAGGCAAAATACTTTATAGGACACGTGAATTATTTGCATAATCATTATGTGATAAGTCAAATCAGATTACTTGCCTCATACTTTTGGAGGAAAGCGTTTAAAAAGTGGGATATTTAATTCTTAAAACCAAAATATATATATATTAATTTTTGATTTATTACACAGTGAATCTCGATTTAGCGGATACCAATTCAAATAATAAACGAATGATAACAATTCGAATAAACAAATGATAATTATTCTAACAAAACGAATGATTTGAATAATTCAGACAAAAATTTGTATTACGAATAGAAACTCTAATCTGTTGCAGAGTCACCAAATCTGGCACGCAGCTAATATTGTTCAAACTAAACTAAAATCATTATATACAACTACATCACTTAAGGCGTCCCTACGAGCAATATAGTAAAACTAATAAACGGGGTTCCTAGCTAATAATTAAATGTTGACCAAACCATTAATCATCAGAAAGGGTTATGAATCAATCAATCATGCCAGATTTATTTTTATTGATTAATTTTTTTCACTGAAGAAGATTTAAAGCATATTTATATTTCTTAAAGTATTACAAATAACATGACTTTTTACATGATTTTGTCCAATAAAATAAAATAGAATGATAAATGATGACTAATTGACAATCACTAATGCTAAATGTCAAAAATGAATAATTGATGATATCATGATTAGATGTCAACTGACAAATTTTTTTGTCATATTTAATTAAAAATAATAAATTTATACTCATTGAAATGTCAGATGGTAATCAGATTCAATTTTTAAATGTTAACTCTAAGTGTTGATGATAATTTGTCTTCCTATTAACTTTTTGGTTTGAGGATATTATTAAATTGAAATATGGCAATGTGACTCTGGACACATTTGTATTGAACCAATTCATTAATGGCATAGAAGACTTCGATGAACCTTTATTTGAAGTCAACATACTTTTAATAGGACAGGTTTCTGGATTATTTTTTCGGAAAATCAATTGATTAGCTGAATGAATCCTGACCTAGAGATAAATCTGTTTTTCCTTTTATTTATCAGATCAACTCACTTATTTCACTTATCAAAAAACTATGCTATTGATCCAGAATTAAAATAGCACAACAGTCATGATTATCATGATTGTTATATTTGTAGTCCTACTCTAAGCCTAGAAATAACATCATCAAATCCATCATCTTTAAAATACTGTTAGTTCTCAAACCCATACTAAAAAATAGATAATTTATGAGGAGGAAGTAAAAAAAGGAGCATTGCTTGAAAGTATTTCTTTAAAAGAAACCTATCGGAGTTCAAGATGCTCAAAATCTTAATTATGAATCTAACTCATTACAGCAAGATTACTTTTTAATGCAATGCTTTGAATACAAAAACACAATAACTCAAATATTAGTAAACATCTGGATAAAATTGATAGATATTTAGATAAGACGATAAAATATTAATGTATTCAAATGGTGGGATACTGCAGAAATTGCGGAATGTGTATTTAAAAACCAAAACGGAAAGTACTATCCCTTAATAATATTTTTTTTTAAGATTATAGCGGGCTCGTGTGATTGACATATCAAGTAAATCTTTCTAAGTTATATGTTAGAGAGAGAAACATTTTATTTTTTTCTAACTTGATGTTGCAATTCTCTCGTTTCTGATACTTCTGAACTAATATATTGTATCAGAATTTTGTGCAAATAGTTAAATTTTGAATGTCATCTAAAACAATATTAGAATACCCATATTTTTGTCTTCTTCTGATGCTTCTTGTACTGTGGCAATTATCTCATACAGACAGTCAAAGCTTGATCCTCAAATCCATATGTAATTTTTTATTTTTTTCCCATTGTAATGAGAATCCATTGTAACGAAAGCCTGTTGTAACGAAAGCCCATTGTAAAGAGTGACAATTAATTATATAAAAAAAATAGGGGAAACATTATAACATAATTTTTACTATTGACTACTGCAACAACGAACAGCGATGTTTTGTTTCATCTCATGTGGCAAAGACTAACCACAAATCAAAATTCTAAACAGTTTCTAATACTAAATTGGCATTAGAATGAAAAAAATTGCACCAAAAAAGAATTTTAATTTATTTTTACTGATAGCATTTTTAAAAAATGACAAAATCAAAAATTTGGCCTCATTTTGTTAAACTGGGATTAATATTATTGTGTATTACGTGTAGTTAACTTCAAAAGTTAAAAATTTGAAAAAACATCAATTTAACACAACTCATATGTATGTAAAGACAATTTGATTTTATGAAATGTAATAATAAAAGAATAGTTTTAATTTGTAAAAAGAAAAGGCACTTTATTTGAAAAAAAATATACGGAAAAATCAAGTAGTTTAATTAAGTAAAATTTCTAATTCAAATTATAACATTTGTAAGCTTCCCATGATAATTATTCTTCTTGGATCAATTACAATATATACATACAATGATATTATCCATCCCATGATACACATTTTTACAATATTTGGAGCTTTTGATAATCCTATTTTATCATTATCATTATTGCTGCTTGTATCAAATGGTTTTACTTACGTCAAGTGTTTTCAATTACGTCAAGTGGTTTTACCTATGTCAAGTGGTTTTACTTACGTCAAGAGCTTTTACTTTAATCAAGTCATCAAATTTCCCTGGTGAGAAACTGCCTTTAGTCAATAATTTAGTTAAGTTAATGACTAAAGTCAAAAGTTTTGTCATACATACAAGTTGTGTAAACTTGGTTTTCCAATTTTGACTTTGAAGTCAAATATGCGTAATAGCAAATGCACAATAAGATTAATATTAAAACCAAAGCGCGTTTGAGTTGTCCTTAGTGCCAAGTTTGAAATACACATCTTGCTAATATTTCTTGCAATAATGATACCTTTTCATTTTTTAAATGAAAATGGCATTTATTATTTTTATTATATATTTTCATTCATCATTACTGAGTTAGTTTACAATATTAATTATTATCCTATTTTAATGTGCAGAATCACATTAATATGCTAAAGAGAAGTCATTTTACAAGTTTTTACAGCCAACAAATTTTTTAGAAAACTAGGATATCAATTTTCTCAAAAAGATTAAGCATAAATAATTTGCAGAATGCATTAAAAACAATTGTTTCGATGAATGACAAATACTCAGAAAGGGCAATGAGCCTTTTAAATATGATTGATGAACACTAATGATATACCTGACGAAATGATCGACATTTAGTCAACGAAATGTATATAATTTAGAACTATAAAAAAACTGACATTGAATTGTGTAATGAATATCTTGACTTTTTAATAACTCCATAACGATTTTTGGAAAATTTCTGAGATGATCACCATCACCGTTTAAAATAAATAATAAAAAAAAAAAATTAAAACCGGCCTAACTGAAGAATGTCCCAAAAAGTAAATCAGAGTTTCACAGGAATGAACTGATTTCTTTTAGTATTAAGAATAGGACATGGACATGATATGACAATGATATGACAATGATATGATATAGACAATGATAATAATTTTTTGGGAACAAATTTTTTACTTTTGTTGGGCGTTTGATTTGAAAAAAGAATCAAAAATTTTGATTGAAATTTGGTTCCTTTGATCAAATCAAATTGAAATTTTCTTTGTGATTGATTCAATTAAATAAATGTCAGTTACTTTTTGTTAATATATAAAGTATAAAGTATAAAGTAAAATTGCTACAAAATTTTATGAATTTTTGTAGAATTTGTTTAGTTTAGAACTAAGAAAAATTCAGGATTTAATTTTTATTATTTGTTTGAAAATTTCAGAAAGAAAAGAGAAAAACAGCCTTTGATTATCATAATTGAAGCAACATAGCAAAACTGTCATTTTTAATTTTTTTGGTGTACCATTTTGATTTTACCTAATACTAATGCAGATGGTTTAGATTACTGTAGCAAGTTTTTTAATTGTAAATAATTGATTGGTTTAGATTGGTAACTAATTAGTAAAAATGTTTTTTTATATCTTGCACAAAAACTAGTCTTGTCAGTGTGTACTCTTGAATTAAAAAAAAAATTATTATTATATTTGTATTTTTAATTTAAATTGTGCACAAAAAAATCAAAAAAACTAAACATATTATATTTTTTGAATTTTCATTCTTTTGCTCATTTGTGCATGTGTTTCCCAAAACTTCATCTAATGGTGTTAATTGCCTTCTTTAATTTATGAAATAACCCATCATTACCTTCCAAGAGACTTTGTTACTTCTAGGAAACCATCCACAAACATTTTTTGCAATTACATTACACTAACTATGCTAATTTGAATAATTATAGTGTATATACTCATGTGTGGACATGGTTATCACAATCATTGTCTACAAAGGTGCCAATCTAAATGCTTGATATCTTGGACTATCTTCAAGTCAAAATAAAAACACACTAAAAAAAGTATGATGAAAAGATTAAACGAAAATGATTTTATCGAAAATAATGAAAATACAATTGATGATGATCTGGGCAATCATATATCTTAAATTTGTTGTGTTTACAATCATTTCATTGACATTCATTATATTAAGGTTATTTTGATTATATCAAGAGATATGGTCAAG